AGTTAGTCCAAATACTATATTTTTTCACCTTTAATCACTCTCCTTTTCCCCAAAATACCACCTTTAAAAATGATATTTTAATATCAGATTCTAGCCTAAGCCCCCATCCACCACCTCTATCTTTTAAAAAGTAAAATAATTCCTTAAAATACACTCAAATTATTTTGATGTCCTTGAAATATTTTTATGGGCTTTGCAGGAAAAAGGCTGATGCCCTATTACGCTGTAGTATGAGATCTTAACCAGGGGCCCAAGAACCACTGCACTATTGTAAACTTTGGGGAGTTATGTACATTATATGCATTTTCCTGGGTGAGGAAGTTCCTAGGATTCACTGGTCTCCAAGGGCCTGTTTCCCTAAAAGGTTAAGAACCATTGCTATAAATGAATTTGTGCCATTCATTATACCTAATTATTACCCATTTTGTTCTGCAGTACTTCAGATAGTACCATACAAATGCAAACATTACGAAATGTCCTTTACTGGATCAGGAGGACTATGTGCAACATTTAGTTCAATGAGAAAGCTATTAGTAGAAAACCGGGTTTTAGAGCAATGAAAAGAACTGAAGGGTTGGGTTTTGTGGTGAAGAAACATTGCATTTATTTTTTCAGTTGTTTCTATGTTGAAGAAGCAGTAATTTTTATCATTATCTCTCTCGCTGGAAAACTCAAATTATCTGAAGAAGCAAACGTTGGTTCTTGCTGGTTTATGTGATGGTTTATTAAGGACTGTGATTAACAGTCCTTAATAATTTACTGCTGGGTCCAAGGAAGACCTTCCTATGGCTTTTAAAATAATTAAGAGTAATCCTCCTCTGTCCTCCTAACTGGAATCTCCTCACCCCTCCATCTCCTAAGTTTTCTTATTTTCTGCCTACTTTTACATAGCATTAACTGGCCTTGGTGAGGTAATACACTAAGCTTTCCTGCTCAAGAAAATGGAACTGGCCTGTTTCAGTTTGAAAAGAGAGAGAGAAGAAAAACCACCAAGAGGGTAGGAGAGAAAATGAAGCAACATTTCATGCAGGATTAGGGAGAAGAAAATTTCACTTTGTTGTTGTATCAATTTAAACAACCTTTTCCCCTATGTAATAAAAGTGTGAGTTGTCAACAACAATTTCAATACCTCTGAGTTTTTCTAATTGGCGCACCCCTACCTGCTGGTAATATGATTAGGAAAACATCAGCAGAGGCCACCAGCTTAACATATAAAGCAGGTCAAGAGCAAGAATCTGCGCTGAGGTGAACAAAAGTGGAAATGGCCGTCTGACGGTGAAATGGACCAAATGCCTCTCCTCGTTTCTGTACAGCATTCTATCAGTAATAACCAACACCTAACTGACAAAACAATACAGTATTATACTCATGACATTTAGAAAATGCATTCTTAAATATTTCAAGCATATTCTGAAGTAATGTATAATTTAAAACAAATACAATCCAAAACTCAGCACATTGCTGAAGGAAATAAAGTAAAATTAGGCTTCTAAAATTTTAAACTATAAAAAAGTCTTCCTAATGCTTAAAAGAAAAACTAATTAAAAGACTAGATCCTCATTTAAAAAATGGTCATCTCACCAGCAGTATCTGCAAGCAAAAGTATATGAAACTCTTTAAAAGTTCCTTCAAAGAAAACCCTCAGATGAGAAATATTTATATACTGAAATATTTACATAATATTTTCTAATATGAAATCCTAACAATACTGTACAAATAGCAATCAAAACATTAAAAGCTTAAACCTCTCATTCAACTAAAAGTATACATCATGAAATTCAAAATTAAAACGAAACAGAAAAGAAAACCTGTAACCAATTTCATCAGTTCTTTCAGAAACTACAAACTGAATTTCCATATGAATTTGTCCAGTAAAGATGGGCAGTGAAATTATTTTTAAAAGTTAAAACACATTATAATCATTTGGCTAAAATTGGATATTAACACTGGCAGTGTGTTTTCAAGAAAAGAACACTGAGTTTTACTTAAATAAGATGAATTTAGCTAGAGATATATATATTTTAAAATGCCTTGGGGCAGGCCAGGTGGCGTAGTGGTTAAGTGTGCACGCTCCGCTGCAGCGGCCCGGGGTTCGGATCCCGGGAGCGCACCAACACACCGCTTATCAAGCCATGCTGTGGCAGCGTCCCATATAAAGTGGAGGAAGGTGGGCACGGATGTTACCCAGGGCCAGTCTTCCTCAGCAAAAAGAGGAGGATTAGCGACAGATGTTAGATCAGGGCTAATTTTCCTCACACACACCCCCACACAAAAAAGCCTTAAACTCCACCAGTACTTCCAGGGTTGGAGAATTCTAAGAAATCCATTACCTATTTCTCTGACTTGCTGCTGTCAGCAGAAGAGTAAAGGCTGTTCATTAAAGGCAATCAAGCATACTCAATAGACCTGAGCCTCATCAGTCCAATTTCATTTCTATGCAGAGCAAAATTTTCTTTTGAATGAGATTTTTAACTTTGGGGAGAAGAAAATAACAAAAGAAAAGAGCTTTCCAGTGAATAAAGGAAGTACAAATGAACACTTTAGGGCAGAGACCTGCCTCGTTCAGGAAAGTATCTGGCAGACAGTAGTTGGGCAATAACTACTTTTTTGGATGAGTGATCCAGTTCTAATGTTAACATACATTAGATTATAAACTCTACTCAAATGTAAACTCCTTGAGGGCAATGACCTATTCTTAGCCTAGAATAGTGTTTTGCAGATAACACTCAACACATTTTGTGGAAAAGCTGAGTTATTAGCTGGATTAATATATGGTCAAATGAATGATCACTAGAAGTACTGCTATAACTCAGATTATCTGAATTACATAATTGATTCTTTAATCCAAATTTGTTAATGTTATGTAGTTAGTAAAAAAAAAAAATTAAGTGGCTGGAATAGTATACTAATTGCATAGTACTCTAGAAGCAAGTTAATGCATTATAATTAAAAATATGTTTGAAATAGTTCTAAAGCTTATTAAGAAATTTTAAAAGCTAATGATAATATTGAGAACTGCTTTTATTATCTGTAAAAATACATTCCCTAAGAAAGTGGAAATTAAGAGAGTTTACCTTGCTAAAACAATAAGAGATAAGTGAAATTTTTTAATGTTACGGTAACGAGAGTCTGCTATACAAAATGAATTTCCTATTAAAAGCAGCAAATTGGGTTTATCTTATTAAAACATTTAAATGAAAGTACATTTTGAATAGTATATTATCATCACACAAGAACTTTTCCCTCCAGGGAAAATAACATATAATACATCAAAAAATTTTGAGGCATTGCCCTGAGATGCTAATTAGCACACAAAAGGGGGTGAGAGGTCAAGAATTTAAGTGGTACAAAAATGAAGTGCACAATAGAGGTGCAAAAGTGCCTTTTAAAAGTGTGGTTGGTTCCTTACCACCCCCATTACCCCCAGGAATCAAGAACACACACAGTCTGCTGTTATACTGTATACTTCCTTCCTGTATTTTTCTAATGAAAAATTATATCTAGTATGGCAATGCTGACTCATGTGGAAAAGATTTAGTCTTCTTAGATCACACAGTGCAGTTTCTCTCACTTTCAAGCCTAATTTCAGTACTAATAATTTTAACAGAGGAATATTTTAACCTCCTCTTTTTTATTTAAAGACTCTCAAAAAGGCTCTAAATATGCTGTTATGGTTTGAAATATAGCTTTTCATCACATTTTTACTTGTGATTTAAGATTTTGCATCTCAAAATCCAATTCAAGGTTTTGAAATTTCCAGAACTAAAAACTTCAGTCTACTTAAAAAATTAAGGACCTGGCTTCTTGTAATAGGGATTTAGTTTTCAGTACTAGTACGTCTGGTAATCAATCTACACTAGAAGCATGGTCTTCACTAAATGCACATCTAGATGCTTGCAAAGCCATAACTTAGAACGTTATCATACTTCGCACTCTACCACAGATTGAGACATTAAGCATTTATTTGTAAGTTAAGTACGGAATTTGTTCTGTAATTCCCACTGTTATGAATTTCTAAATATAAATAGTACTTGTTTTTCTTCATTCATGCTGGATTAAGATATAAATTAAGTACAATTAAGTTACATTTAATCACCTCACAAATATGAGGGATAATGAAAAGATTTTGCTGGTATGTAACTACTTAAATCTGAGACATTTCACATTACTTTTCCCCCTACTGTACTCCCTTAACTTTACATTAGTTTCAAGGTTATATATACAAATATGTATATTTCCAAGTTAGGGAAAAAACAAATGCAACAAAATTGATCATACTACCTTTTAAACACAAAGTTTTGATTTTGTATTCAATCTTGTATTTTAATCTTACATTTTAATAGTTTTCTAGAGGGGAATCTGCCTACTGAATGATTAAATTACATGGTGATAAATACAATATTCAACCTAAAGAGACAAAAATACAGAAGGGCACAAAACAGTAGTCTTTTCAATGTGACAGATTTTAAAACTTACTTTCACATGCTTAGTCAGAGGGATTTAAGCCTAAATTAAATTAGGTTATTTTTATATCTACAATTCTTTAAGCTTTGCAAGTTATTTTTAAAGGTCAACAGCTAAATATTATCAACATGCTATCTTTCAAATCACAAATACATCTTAACTACTTGATTTCTAAAGACGGGCCAATTAAAAATCACAAACACACTCACAAACACACACACACACCCCTACCATAGAGTGTTGGACTGTCAAGCTTTGACAATTATTTAATTAAACAGTAGGCAAATTCAAGCTGATAGACATCTTAATGAAAAACCAGCAGCCAGAAAGAAACCCATTTAAAAAATAGATTAAGGAAAAACAGAGACTTAAATCTTTCAGTCTTTCTAATGGAAGAGAAACAGTTCCATCTATGCCTTGAGTAACAGTATTTTCCAATTAAAAGAGACTAACATCTTTCCCCTTGAGAAACTTTTCATTTACAATGGCATGGTGTTTTAAAAGGGTGGGGTAAAGGAGGAATTACACATACATGATTAAATTTCTTGTTTGTTAAATCAAGCTTTATTGATAAAATGGAATTCAGAATATCTTACTAGGAACAGCAGCAGGCCCAGCCAATCATGATAGCAAAAATGTGGCAGTCTCCTACTCTATGTAGGAAGCTGCTGCTTATCAATTAGTTAATTAAATGTAAGGACTTGTAAAAGAGGTGCAAAGAATCAAGGCATTTTAGCCCCAAGATTGATATTCTTATGAATATACTGTATTACCTGCAATACTCATGGCAACAAGGAAAGAATAACCTAAAAGACAGTTAAATGAAGGGACCAGCTTTATCAACAATGCCAATCCCACTGCCAAGAACATTAAGAAAGTTTTCAACTAATTCCCTGGATGTTCAGCTTTGTAAGATTCTGGAATTATCCTCCATCATCCAGTGCACATTTGAGTGTCTGGCTGATGTGGCTGCTGCTCTCCCTGTCCCAGCACAACGTGACTTGAAAGGGCTATATCTGTTGTATCGCACAACAAGCCAAACATTTCTTGTAACTTTGATAGTGATTTAAAGCAGTTCATAATTAAATATGAGCATTTTGTACAAGGACAATTACACTTTACAAAAAACAAAATCATACAACAAAAATTGCTGGAGTCTGATTTACAACATGAATTATGGTTTGAAATCACGTTTACGTAAGTCTCAAATTTACAAAAAAAAAAAATCAGTCCTGGGCTAGCTGTGGTACTGCTGAAGTTCTCTGGTGTAATCACTCTCACCCATTTCATATGCCCTTCTTTAAAGTTGAAGATGGATGTTTAAAAGGTTCAACGAAGTTGAGCTGTACTCTCCTTTGGAGGTGAAGGTAAACTCCATGGCTAGATGAGCGGTTTTACCACATATCATCAGTTGATGTAGAGTCCTTTATAAAAGGAAACAAAGCAAAACAAGAAACTAAAGCTTAGAGATGCCAAAATACATTACTTTCTGGATAATGAAGATAAGGTTTTGTAAAGTTGCCTTCAGAATATAAATGTTTTTCAAAGTATGTAAGTATGTGTATGTGTGTATATGACATATCAGTATTTATTCTGTTCAAAGAATTGTTAACCCTTTGTTTTCTTTTGGAATAAAATATGTGAATTATGATTTTACCATGAGGTTAACTAAATGTATTTCTAAACCAATAAAACTACTAAAAAGAATTCTGTTTTTTTCTTCAATAAAACCCAATTTATTTTTAGAACACTATTTTTATAAACTTTTATTGCATAAGAAGAGATTAAGACCTCAAGTAATATGAGATTTGACGAGGGTTCAATACATAAAATATCTCAGAGCTGTGCCCAAATGATTTTATGTTACCACTTCTCTGTAAACACCATACTACAACAGAATTAACAGGAAACTAAATTGGAGGATATGGCATTCTAACATCTATTTACATAAACAGAATTCTCAACTTTAATATTTAAATGAAGTATATACGTCAGGGTTCTTGGCAAAGGTATTTCTAACCATAAAAACTATTTAGTGGAGTTGGGCATTCTGAAGTTCGGTTGTAGCTGCTTACAAACCTCAAAATAATTCAAGATTCTGAGTAGAGATATTATTCCCAACTTCAAAAAAAAACATTTAGTGGAGCCAAACCTTCTGAGGTTGATTGCTTGCAGAGGCTTAAAAAGCCCAGAATAATTCAAAGGGACTTTCTTCTTTTTTGAGAGAGGTGGCCACTCACCATGATTATGTCCTCAATCACTAGAACTGTGATGCAGGCAGAGTTCAGAGCAATCAGTCAGGAGTGTGTGTAAGAGAGTGGGTGCAGTGAACAGCTCTGCAAAAACAGGTAGCAAGGATATGCATTTAGAGTGCAGGGGTAGGGAAAGCAGAGCGAGCTAAAATGCTACTTACAGTGTCATCATTTTTGTAAGGATTCAGTCTATTGTAAACGGCTTCAATTACATTCCGCCTAAATTTAAAAAAATGCAGAAAGTTACTTCAGAGCACAAAACTATTTAACAATCACAGCCAGGTGGTATTTAAAATGTCAAAGATAATCTTACACTTAGAAATTATTTTAGTTCTATTTCTTACTGTCAATAAGTGAGCCTCACCTCAAGATATTTGGGCCTCCCTGTTGAAGTAGAGGTGAATTTACTCTAAAACGTAACATTCCACCAACCCAATTAATAGAAGACTAAAAGTCATAGTTGAAAAAAAAAAAATCAGTCTATATGGTCTACTTCTACTTGAACAGACTTCAGTGGTTAGGAGTCAACAATGACGATGCAGTTCTTAAGATACAATACTAATATATTCTGGTTAAGAGTTGAATGTTAGTTTTGAAGTAGAAGTAACTTCAACATCTGTTGTAGTAAAATAATTTAGATGTATTTTACATTTAAATTTCTGCTTTTCATAATGCCCCTTTAAGAAAGCTCTATTAAAACTGAAATGTCAAATATGTCATTTCCCTGTTAAGTCTAGGAATTAGTTTTTGAACAATATTTTGTTAAAAAAACCTGTCATGGTATTTGTAAGTTATAGCCTCTCTACTTCCAAAATTGATTTGAAGCAATTTTATAGTCATTTCACGGAAGGTCATATTGGAGGAAAGTTCCCAAAAAATAAAAGCTTCAAATAGGAATTTTTACAACTACTATTTAGTGAAATGATTATAAAGAATATGGCTACACTTACAGAACACAATGCAGAATCAAGGAACGTATCTTTGTAGGTCAATTATATGGGTATCTGAGGTAAAAATGTTTTAACCCTTGAATTATACAGTTGCTTACAGTCTCTACTGTAGTTTATAAAGATGTAAGCTTAATATTTAACATGGATTAGTCCAGTTCCTGAAATGAAGTGCAAAGAGAAAAAGGCAAGCAATGCATCCTCCTATCTTCCATCACACGAACCCAACCAACCAGCAAACAACCAAAAAACACTGGGAAAATCAGAGATGTAGAAAAATGGTCCAGATGGAGGAAGAGAAAGATGCTCATCCCTGGGGTGTTAAATTATCCAGGGATTGACAAAATCAAATTATAATATAGGAATAATAATGATACTTAGAATTTTGTAGTGCTGTGTAATTTAGTTAAAAAAATTCTTGGATTATCTCATTTATGCTATATGAGGAAATCCATGTAATCCAAACCTCCACTACAGACACTTTCGGTATAATTAGTTACCAACAATGACATTCTGATACCTATTCTAAACAAGCACCATGTATCATTAATACTGAAAATCACTGAACCATAGGTTAAATATTTTGAAGATACAGTTTGATCAATGGACACCTAACATTTTCATGTACTGAGATAAATCATAAGAGTCTGCAGAACACAACTTACTTGCTTGCCAATTCACCCCCTGGTGGGAGGCTGGGGATGTTCTCACTCGCTAATGTGCGCATCACATGGACTAAGTCAGGGACGCCTTCCCCCTGCTTCTTTATGATTTCTGGGAATCAGAAGTACTTTTTTTGTAAGTGTTATCCAAATTTAATTAAAAAAAAAAAAACTGAAACAAAGATAACTTAGGTTTTTAAAGATGACATTTAGCACATCTGAGATTTTCTAAACTGGTATAAGAAAAAAAAATCAAGTTGACCTTTGAAAATTTATGACAAAGAGATGCACAAAATGACACAAAAGATGAGATACTTTCCAGATTAACTTCAAAGAATGAAAATAACAATAAAATTGTGAAAAAAAAATTTTATGTTAAAATCAATGTATTACATAATCAGGGATACGTATGTACAAATGAGAATATTCTTAAGAGGCCAACTAGTTACTTCTGAGGAGATCAACTCCTCTCTTTAGACTGGAAACATGTTTCCTGAACTTTGCCCTGAAAATACACTGCACAGATTTCAAGATTTGGAAAAAAAAAAAATAGCCTTGAATTATAGGGGAATTCATTGATTATATACTAACCCAAATCATTTTTACATGTTTATATTTGCAAAATGATACTTAAGTAGCATGTGCAGATTAGATTATATACTTGAATACCACTCTCAGCTTAATTTTTGTCTAAGGTATCTTTAAGCAATAAATAGATATATAACATCATTTTCTTAGTTATTTGAACAAAGCTTACAGAACGGAAAAAAGTCTAAATTTCATGACAAATTTTTTAAAAAGAAAAAATGATAAACCATACAACTGAATTTAAAATTGTTAATTTTAAAACATCTAGTTATTAAATGAGTATGTTACCATCTGCAACATTGCCATGCAGATGCGTATTGTTACTCATACCAAAGAATACCAATAATTATGTACAAACAACTTAAAAGAACTCTCAAACTATTCACTTCAAGAGTTTTAGCATATTCCAAATGCAAGATCATGCCAAAGGTATTTGTAAGTTATATGTTCAATTTTTTGTTTTTCAATGTTTATACTAAGAAATTTTCTTTGTCGTCATTGGGGCAAGAAAATTATCATTCTAGTTCTCAATTTGTAAATACCATTGAGAATAACAATGCATGTAAAGGTTTTTTATCCTTTGATCAAGTCTCAAAATATTAACTCATCATTAAAGCCACATATTAAAAGACAGACATCACTACCCATATTTCTTTAAACGACTCAAATTGTCCTTTTAGAATTAGGCCAAATTTTACCATCTATTATTTTTTGCCTTAAAAAAAAAAGTCTTAAATCTGAACAAAAAAGCAAGGATCTCAGATTTGGTTTGCCAAGTTCCTTTATTGTGTAATCTTTAACATCTAGTATATTTATTCTACATGGTTCTAATGCTGGAAATCTGCTGTACAAAAAATAAAGGGATTTGATGTTTACCTAAACTGCACAATTTCACAATCTAAGGCTGTAATACACTTAACATACAGTCTCTGCTAAGCCAATACAATTACTGGAAAGATAACTAGATACAATAGAAATGAACACTGATGATAAATTTAATCAATGATGGTTTCAGGTCTAAAAAACATTACCTTGAATCATCTGTATTTGATCTATCTTACATCTCCTTTATTAAAATATAAATTAGGATATTTTAATTGTGAAGAAAATTACAGGAAGACAAATTCTTTTAAAAAAATAATGTAAGGCTTTAAAAACAGTTAATATTTCCTATTCCACAAGGGACAATACATTTAAACTATCTGATCATTAATACTACACTGGCCTTGCTTCTAAAAAAGAAAAAGTAATGAATTTTAAGAAATATTCCTTTAATTGCTCTTGGACTATACATTTTAATTAGAATTGTAAAAAGACTGAATGCTTTTATTAAAGAATATATATGTATAGAAGATCTATGTTTCACATACTCATATACAAATAAACACATTCTGCTCCTCCCCACTCCCCTCCACAAAGTCTGAAGGATCCTATCAGTTATCTCCAAATTAGCAACTTTAATCTTGGGCAGTCACAGTAGCAAAGATTTTAAAAATATATACGCACAAGTATAATCTTAAATTGGCTTAGAAGGACCACAACTTTAAGCAGTATGGTTTAAATTATGAGCTGAATCTTTTCACAACCGTAGAGTCAAGCATTTAGAAGGGCACAGATAATAGGAGAGCTGAAGAGCCTTTGTCCTTTTCTGTGGTGTGGATAGAGAAGCCAAAAGTATTCAAAGCAAATAAAATGAGGTTTAGTAGGTCACAGCAATTTAGTGAAGGCACATATTTAAAGAAAGAAAAAAAAAAAGTGCCTGTTTTGGAAGTTGAATGCAGTATTTTTCACTTAAGACATACAACAACTTTCACAATACAAATAGTTACATATTTCCTGTTTTTAAATATAGTAGTTGTTTTAATTAATGTAATATTTAATCTCTGGTTGCAGTCTCATCAAATCTACTTCAGTAAAGAATATCATTTAATTTATGACAATCTCCAATTGAATGGTACAAGTATAACAATACTTCAACATATCAAAAATATTGAGAATTAATGTAAATTCTGTTCAGGTGGCAATTCTTGCTTGCTAATAAGCAATATAAAACTTAATATTGTAACATAAAATTATGTATCTAAAGCAATTGTTTACAATTGCATCAAAAATTTAAAGAGCGTACACTAAAGAGAAAAGCAGAAATTCATTTCTAAAGTTTGATCCCATTGCATAGTAAATAAAATGAAAGTACTTATTCTTATTTCTTTAAATCAATAAGAGAACAGTATAACCAAGTTCCTTTAAAGTGCTAGTAAATTAAATATCAACTTATCCCAATACATAGTTTTCTTACAATTTCATATTTTTCCACTAACCAGCAGTTTGAACCAATGTGATACGACTTGGTAGCATTCTAAATATTTCCTTTTACTGTATTATGTATAAATAACTTATATTGAAGTGATTCATTTAAAATATAAAAATTCCAAGACCTTTGGTAATAGCGAGGAAACAAACCCATTGAATATTGCATCCAATGAAAGAAATACTAAATAGTACATACGCATACTAGATATATCACTCTTAAGTGGGGGAGAGCAATAAAAATAAAATAGCAGCTCTAGATAGTACTGAAAATCAAAACCATTATAATTCTAATATCAGACTGATTATAATTGATATAAAACAGTAAAAAGGGAGAAAAAATCAGAGTGCATATTAACACTGCAGGCACAGCTGGATATAATAGTGTGTAGGTCAATGCTTACATGCTATTCAAGGTCTTTAACGTGTAAGTTAATGACATTAGGGACCCAATGCATTTTAACACTATTATAGGCATGTCAAGTTTTTCTGCTTAATGACACTGCATAATCTACACGCTTACTGCATATATGCAGGAAACTGGAATTCTCTGGGGAGACTTAATATTTATACCAAGTAGGAGCTGCATCAAAGATCATTGAAATTGTTTCAAATATTTAAAGGCATTACACCTGAGAGTTACAAACATCTTTCTAATTATGTCAAGGTAATTTGCAGAATTATGACAAATATACTCCCGGAATTCCCAACTTATTTCTTGATTTTATTCGGCATTTACATTTCTGCCAGGTAGAGACCTAGAATGTCTTCTATTTGGGTCTATGTTGTCTAGGTGAGGCAGTTTATGGCTTAGGCAAAAAGCTGTGAAACAGTTTAAAATAAATTTTTAAAAACTGTGGCACATGAAAGTTGTTAATAACCAGGCTGTGATCTTCAAGTTATTAAAAAAAAAAAATCCTAAAGATCTTAAATTCATATACACAGCTTTACACAGAAAGATGGCATTCAAATTATCACCATCATAAATAATCTGTTTATAATTAAATAAACCACAAATCAGACTTTCCTGGCACAAAATTATTCATGCCAATGAATTCATAATGAATTTGAAAGCATACAAACACTTCAGCCTTTTTAAACAAAAGTATCCTGAACAGAACGTACAGGGCCACACTAGTTATTTCTAACATAACTGTGATAGGACAATTGCAAACATCTCAACAGCTACTACAGAAATGCCCTTTCCCGTTTTTGTACACTAAACACTAGATGTCAAAGGCTTGTAAAGATCTAAAAGCTAAAATGTTAAAGTTTGTGTTGAGGTTTTTCTTTAATAAAGCTACTTATTTTTTGTTAAATGATCCACCTTCTACTCTGCTTTCCAGGTACTTGTCCAACTCTGCCTCCTTCTTCACTGCTTCTGGCGATACTTTGGGTGCATTTGGAAAACAGATCAATATCACACTCATGTTGTCTCGACTTCCCTGGAAAGATAAAAGTTTGAAAAAATAGTGTGGTTTTCTTTTTGCTCTTGAAAGCCTTGATAACCTTTATAGCGATGCCAATTATAATTATACTTATTCTAGTTGAAAATATATGTTTTTAAAGAGAAAAAAATGTGGAGGGGGTAGCTCCCCAATACACATACAGTATACTATATAGCATACAATATAACCAACACTACAAAAGACAGGAGAGAAACATTACAGGTCAAATTCACTGCAACAACCATTTTTAAAAATTCTATAAAACAAAAATATTTCTGAACGTTTACTGGTAAATGTTATCACTTCAGGTGAAGTGATACCTAACATACATAAACATACACACACATTCATTCAATTCAACAAAATAGAAAATTCTAGTGGTGTTTCTTACAACAGGATTTGACCTGTAGTTACATGTACTTGACAAATTTACATTTAAAATAAATTATAATAAATTGTGGGGCTAATTAATTTTCTTCATAATAAATAGAAATATGGAATCAGAAGTAAGACTACATATATAAAGTTTATCAACCAGCTTTTAACTTTCATAATTTTAAAAAACTGACTTTTTTGACTTTCATTTTTAAAGACAACTAGGTATTCAAAATGCTATAATTAAAATACCTGAATTGATGTTGGCCTCCCCACATTCTCCTTCCTATTTGTAACTAGAGTTAACTTTTACGTTTTAAGAATTTAATTCTGCTATCTGGGAAAACTGACCTTATACCATTAGTTTAAGCAAACAATACAAAGAATTTAACATTAAAAAGAATCGTGGAAGAGAACTGTATAAAATGTGGCAAAGGATAAGCTATTGAATAATTTTTAAAATAGAGTAAAATGCAGAAGAGATAAAGTGGAATCTGAGTCATAATTTACTAATATCTGAATCTGGCAATTTCTCTCAAGAAAACAGCTTTTAATTCAGCTAACAAGTATTTAATTCTTAAGTGCTAAAGAATAAACCCAACAAAATGGATGCTACTTTTATGCATACTAAAAGGGACAAAGAACATATGTATCACTGTTTAGCTCTTCCCAAATTCAGAAGTTAACAGTGTGAACTATTATTACTCTACTGATTTTTTTAACATGTGTTGGATGTTACATAAACTTGATTTGTGTTGGATGTTATATAAACCTGATTTCTAAGTATGATCAGATTTTAATTAAGATTTTAAGTCAAGTTGGCAGTGTGCATATAAAACTACAAAGAATATAATGTTGACTTTCTACTGCCACATGTTAAAAGAAAATCAAATATATAGCCTCAGCAGAATTTTATGAAATTAACATGTTTAAAAGAAAAATCAAAGAATTAGTTAATGAGCATTATTGACAAAAGAGAACAATGTGGTAGAAAGAACACTGAACTTAAGTCGAGGGCTTAGATTTTGGTCTTAGTGCTATTACTAAAGAAGTAAATTGTACAATAACCCTGTAGAAGTCACTTTTAACTTCTCTAGGAAAGGGAGCAGCATGTATCAAGTACATACTATTTGCTAAACTAGGCACTTCATAAATATACATTAGCGCATTAATTTAACTCCTCAACAGTCTTACACGTTAGATACTATTATCTCCATTTAATAGCTGAGGGAGGCTGAACAATTTGTTCAAAACTGTAGAGCACAAAAGTAATAGAGGTAAGTAGCCCGCCCGGTGGCGCAGCGGTTAGGTGCTCGCACTCCACTGCAGTGGCCGGGGGTTCGGATGTTAGCTCAGGGCTGCTCTTCCTCACAGAAAAAAAAAAAAAAAAGAAAGCTAATAGAGGTAAGCCTTGATTCCAGGTCTGTCTGACTTTTAAGTCAGCAGAGCCTTCTCTGGCTTCAGCTTCCTCGTCTGTAAAATAAAGAAGCTGAGCTGGCTCGTCTGTATACACAGTCCCATTTGATCAGCCCAACAACGTCAGGAGACACGGTAATACTATCTCTTACCTGTTTTACAATTAAAGAAACTGATTTTCCAGATAGTTTTAACAGCTTACCTGAAGTCATACACAGTCTCATACCAAGTTCTTCTAACTCCATGTTCAAAGCTATTTCTATTACACCACACCAAATGATCACTAAATTCTCTTTGTTGCTGCTACAGATTCATTAGACCATAGTCTCAAAGTACTTCCATAAATGTACTGAGATATCACATGGTAAAAATAAAATGTTAAAATTCTAAAATGCTTTTCATTTATGGACACTGAGGCTTAATGTTCCCCATCCCCTTTCTTTTAAAACATACACTTTGACATAATCTTTTTACCTTTGATAATCTTCCACAATGTTAAAAAGCTCAAGTAGTCATGGTTACTTAAAAGACTAAATGTTCAGATTATACCTCTTGCATATTTCATAACTGGGTAATTTATTTCTAAAAACTGTTCTGATATTTTTATAATTGATGAAGGGTAGCCTGCAATTGTAGCAAAAACTTACTTCTGAGAACTACAGGTTCTAAAATGATTAAATACTACAGTAGTAATTAAGATGACAAAATCATTTTATCTTTTAAAAGAAAGTCTAGCTACCTTATACAAACAGGTGTCGACTACTTCATTGCAAACCTTCTCAAGGTCATCAGTGACTTCCAGTCTGGATCTTACAAAATCACAGAGCTCTTCATTTCCCATAACATCCCAAATACCATCACATGCAAGGATAATAAACTGATCATCTTCTTCAGATCTTTCAATATCATGGACTTCAGGCTCTGGTGAGACAAGCTGCTCTGTAGGACCTTTTCCATGGACACACTTGTAATCAAAGTCCCCAAGGGCCCTTGATACAGCCAGAGAGCCATTCACACGCTGAATCATTACAGAACCACCTGCATTCTGAATTCGTTCTTTTTCCAGCGGATTACTTGGTTTGTGATCTTGTGTGAAGAAGTGAACTTTCCTGTTCCTACAAAGTAAACCTCTCGAGTCTCCACAGTTAATGAAATAAGTATGTTGAGGAGAAATTAAGACACCCACCGCTGTTGACCCACTTCTATCTGCACCATGTTTCTTCTCTGACATAACTCTCATATGTTCATCAATCTCCAGAAAACCTGTTCTGATTCCATTCTTTACATTTTCCACAGAAGGTGCTCCTGCAGACCCTTTAAAATCCTGGTTATTGGTGATGTGATCTAACAAATGCTCACAGCAGTATTTGGCAACCTGAGAACCAGCATGCCCATCATACACAGCAAAGAAAGACCATGTTTCAAGTCCACTTGGCAAACCGATCACGGCCGTATGTGCATCCTCCATCTCAACTCGCCAGCCTTGCATGCTGCTTAGCCCATATCGCAACCCATTACCCTGCCCCTGGGCATTATGTTTTTCCATCTTTGGCTTGTCTAAAAATGCTCCCATTATGTCTTGATCCTCTAGGTCTGCAAAGGAAGAGAAACAGGAAAGTTAATAACTATCTTGTAAACAAAATTCATATCCAACAACCTTGTTAAGAGTGAAGGAGATACAAAGAAAGCTTTAAATAAGAATTCACAACTCTTGTGATAAGCAGACACTCATTTTATCACTGACTTAGAACCTGGAGATTAACAAAGAAGAATTAGGGGAAAGGCTGATCAGGCACAACTTGGAATGGACAGCAGGCAGAGAGAACTAAAGCACTGGGATAAAAGCAGCTGATCTGACACTCCCCAAGGCACAACCACTTGAGGTAGAAAGGAGACTTGGCAGTGGCCATAAGCTTACATGAACCAGGTCAAATGTTTAAGGATGCACTGAACATGTGAATCTCTTAGGGAATCTCAGAACTAAGTTGTATGTACATATTACAAATGAATTCACAGGATATAACAAAAGCCTACTAATTCAAACATCTTAGTCGAACATTCAGAATTTTCCGAAGTTTGATTCCGAACTATCTAGTTTTATTCCTACTACATGAACCTTCTGAAAACGTAAAAAATGATCTACTCACAATGGTCCAAATTTGCAAGCTCCTTCCTTTAAGCCTCTGCTCATGTCAGTCCCCTTAACTGCAATCCCTTGCCTCTCCTTCCTACTTATAGAAAAAACCATTAAAGTTTAGCTCAAATTCTACCTTTTCTCCAGGTTTTTCAGTCTTTGATAAAGCCAATAAGTTACTAAATTACTGTAAGTGGTCCAGCCTCAATTTTCAAGTTGCAAAGCAATTATACATACATATAACAAAGCTTATTGTATATAACAAAATTAACCTACTCTAATTTACTGGTATTCTATTAATCTAGTGGTAATAACATATACCATTATTATTGTACTCTATGATCATTAGGTATAAATAGTAAAGGAGATCAAAGGGTTTAGGGACAGCCCTGTGGACAAGTCTGAAAGCGTAGCTAATATAAGCTTTTCCCAATAATCAAAAGCTAAAACCCCTGGTCTGGAATGGGCCCACACAAGGCAGGGAGACACTCAGGATTCAGACTGGCCTTTACTTGAATAATAGCCTAGGAATGTAGAGATATGGGTCCAAGTCATCAAATGAATCACAACTGAACTCAAAGCAATCTGAAAGAAGGACAGAATGAGACTGAATGGAAGTGAAGCAGAGATGGGGAAGTAACAGGTAGGGGTGTGGAAAAGTACCTAGGTAAATCAGGATGCAGTTAGGAGACTAAGGGATTGATGATGCTAGTGATGCTAAGCTCTGAGAAGAAGCTGGGAGAGAAAGGAGAAGAAAAACCCCTTAGGAAGGAGGCAGTTTCCCAGCAACCTTCCCCTCTTCTTTTTCCTACTAGTACACAGGCAGAGAAGTCTGGTTGATTGGTGTAATAAAACAATCTCCTGCCTACTCCTTTGCCCCCTATTACAATTCCACTAATGGAAGGTAAATAATGAAAACTAGCAGACTGGCCCTGTGGCTTAGTGGTTAAGTGCGCACGGTCTGCTACTGGAGGCCCGGGTTCGGATCCCGGGGGCACACCGACACACTGCTTCTCCGGCCATGCTGAGGCCGCGTCCCACATACAGCAACTAGAAGGATGTGCAGCTATGACATACAACTATCTACTGGGGCTTTGAGGGAAAAATAAATAAATAAAAATTTAAAAAAAGAAAAGAAAACTAGCCATCATTCATTCCTTATAGTGGTATTCATCAGATTACCTTTCTGACACCAAGTTTATACACAGTATGGCAAGGGTGAGTGTTTTGACTGGACAAAGATAACATAATGATGACACCTTAATAGCAGACAATTTTTAAGAAGAATTCTAAATCACTCTGATAAGTGTTTTCAAAACATTATCTCATTCATTCTCCTTAACAACTCTCTAAAGTGGGTAACAGTATTATCTCCAATTTATAGATGAAGAACCTTAGCAAGACTAAAGAACTTGGCCAAGGTCACTCAGCTGATAAATTTGGAGGAATGAGGACTCTAATTGAAGCCTGCCTGACTCTAAAGCATCATTTATTACTAAGGCAATGGTTTCAATCATGGCTGTACAAAAAAATTATCTGTGGACCTTTTGAAAAATTAAGATTAACAAATCAGAATTTCCAGGGTAGGGCTGGAACCTAGGCATCTGTGTATCTGTGGAAAAGATTAGATGGAACGTCTAGATAGGAAGGTAGAAGATGATTGAGCCATGGTGGGGTAAAGTCATCTGCTGAAGGTCAGCAGCAAGTTGCCTCATCTCTGCACCTCAATTCCTTTATCTAGGCTGAAGGGGAGGAGGGAGGTATTATATAGTTAAGATGCTTGTTATTAAATGCTACTAATCTAGCATTCCTCATCTGTACAATGGGCATATTACTACTTACCTCTGAATGTTGCTGCAAGGTTTAAATGAGGTAATGGCTGCAAAGTAGCCACAGAGTCTGGCAAAAAGGAGGCACTCAGCAAATGGAAACTGTTTAATTATTACTTCATTCTTACATACATAGCCACATCTAGATTCTGATATTACCTAACAGGGACCTTACTCTCTCTTTCATAGGAAAGTCTGGTAGTTATTTTCCAGACATACATATGAAACTACCAAATAACTCTTTGAAGATAGAGTACATTTTCTAAAAACAAAACCAAACTTTTGAAAATTTATATTAGAAATGTAAAAATGTAACAAACCAAGTCAACCATCTGATAAACTTTTAGGCCCAGCTCTATAGCAAATTTAAAAATATAGTCAAGGGCAAATTAATAATTTTGTGGTTGGACTTCCACATACTGAAACCAGGCATTTCAGAAATCTTACCTCCTGGGATTCTGAGTAATTTGTAGAATCCTGGTGAAGCAGCCAACTATAGCTACATAAATATAGCAGATAGTTATGTAAATATAATACTTACCAGCAATTATTAACTTATAAATACTATATTTTCATAGTCATCTTCTATAAGTGGACTTACTAAACAGTATTTTATTTAATCAAATTATTAAATTGGCATATATCTATAAATAGTAAACCCCAAGGGGATTCAACTTGCCCATGAAAGTTTTAGTTTCCGAGAGAAATTCTAGTTCTCGCCTAGTCTTAAACCAACTCGGAGCACATGCAGGGTCTCATCACAACACCAGCATTATCAGTTGATCTGAACTTTTCAAAACAAAGTACTATGACAATCATAAGACCAAATTCATCTTTGATATAATCAGAAAATCTGGTGAACATTTTTGTCTTTTAAAACCAAACTAACTCTGACATTGAAAAATTCTAAGGCTGGGCCAGGCAGTCATTCATTAAAGTTCAGCCACTTTTTTTTATTAAACAAACTCATCTCATAATCATAGCAAAGAGTCTAGAACCTGATCATTTGGTTTAATTCACTCACAATTATCCCAAATTTTAAAAAAGCTCTATATATTCCACTGTTAAGATCCCTAAGCAACCCATTAGCCCCCAAACAACAAGAGTTATTCAACCGACAATTTGGGCAGAGGGCTTCAGTAAAAAATGGAAGAATAAAACCCTAAAAGGTTTTTTTCTGTTATCTATGGATACATAGTCTAATACAGAACCCCTCCAGGCTCCATAAACAGAACAAAATAGACATATGTAAACAATGTGGAGAAAATTATATTCTCTTAGCAATTGATAGAATTCTTTTCAGGGCAAGCCCTACTTTTTCTGAGAAACATTACTTTGATCAGACATGTAAAGTAGGGGGTAAGGATCAAAAGATATACTCACATAACAAAAGATCACCGTGAAATAGGCATTTGAAGGAGGGTGGATGCTGGTAACTGGAGGACCTTTGTTTGATGAACACTGAAACAGATTTGGCTATAAAAGTTAGGGAGGAAAATCTGGAGTAGATCTGCATAAAAAATAAGAAATCTAGGGGCTGGCCCAGTGGCGTAGAGGTTAAGTTCGCACACTCTGCTTTGGCGGCCCAGTGTTTGCCAGTTTGGAGCCTGGGCAGGGACCTACGCACTGCTCATCAAGCCATGCTGAGGCAGCATCCCACATAGAGCAACTAGAAGAATGTACAACTATGACATACAACTATCTACTGGGGGCTTTGGGGAGAAAAAAGGAAAAAAAGGAGGAAGATTGGCAACAGATGTTAGCTCAGGGCCAATCTTCCTCAAAAAACAAAACAAAAACGCAGTTAAAAAAAAATAAGAAGAAATCTAAAGGTTGAGGGAAATCCAGAGGAAAAAAACTAGCAAGAGAGACTAGAAGCTTCTTGGGAGAAGAGGGAAAAAATGGAACACTAGCTAGCAGCATAGGCAGCAGTGTATAACATGGCAACATTCAAGTTATCTGCAGTGGGGTGTGGGATGTAAACTCTCTCCTACTACCAAATCTTTAGTATATTCTACACTGCCCACTAACGCTTACATATGAATAGACTTTATCAAAGATGAGGACAAATGGTTAGTTGACTCTGGAATGCCCATTACTGAACGATAGAATATTAAGTAATATATTGCATAGCTGGGATTCAGTGAAGAAACAGACTTGTAGCCATATCTCTGGCAGAGGATAATTTAGGGTACAAAAACTACTTTTAACTTTGCAAGCTATGAGACATGGTAATTACAAATTATATTTTGTAATCCAAGGCAGATATCTCAAAGTTAACTATGGTAATGATAAATAAACACATGAACAAAACTTGAGAGCAATTTGAGAGGGGAAAAAAAGGCTAATTGCTGGGTAACTTTTCTCCCATTTGGAGTCTGAAATTTCTCACTGATCATTAAAAAATGATTACACATATACATATTTACAAATTTGATTTTGATAAACTTGTATCACTAATCAGAGCCAAAAATGTAGAAATGATCTGTCTAACCTATTTTACAAATGAGAAGGTGCAGCAAAACAGAATGATCTGCACAAAGCCACAAGGTTAGTTCAGCAGTAAGACTGAGAAAAGGACCTAGGTTTCTGGACTTGCACTCTAATTCTCCTATACATGCTAT